TTACTAGTTGTTCCAGTCCCAGATTTGTAATAGCATTGTAGAAGGTTGTGTGTATGATTTCAGTTGTACAATCATTTAGGGTCCAGTCAATATGAGGTAGATTGAAATCACCAAGAAGGATAAAAGGGTATGGGCAGGATGCAGCCCATGTTAGTAGAATCAAGATCATGTGGAATATTAGTGTCGCTTTATAAAATCCTAGTAAGACCACACCTGGAATACTGCAACCAGTTTTGGTCACCATACTACAAAAAAGATGTTGAATCTTTGGAAAAAGTTTAGCGAAGAGCAACTAAGATGATCAAATGCCTGGAGACTAAAATATATGAAACATATAAAACATGAAGAATGGATTTGGGTTTGGCTAGTTTAAAGAAAAGAAGTATTAGGGGTGTCATGACAGGAGTATTCCAGTATTTGAGGGGCTGTCACAAAAAGGGGGTTATCAAATTATTCTCCAAAGCACTTGTGGGCAGGACAAGAAACTGGTTGGAAACTAATCAAAGAGATAAGCAACTTGGAATTAAGAACAAACTTCCTAACAGTGAGAACAATTAACCAGTGGAACAACTTGCCTCCAGAAATCATGGGTGCTCCATCACTGGATTTTTAAAAGAGGAGTCTAGACTAGGAGTATCAAACTCAAGGCCCGCAGACTGGATCCAGCCTGAGGGGTGCTTAGATCTGACCTGTGGGGCCACCCTGGAAACAGCAAAGGACAGGCCCGCAGTGCCTCTGCCAATAAAAATGAGTCCCACCCGGGCTCTGTTCTTGGCTGCAACAGCCTCCTGCAATCCTCTGACAGTGAAAATTGAACTTGCGTGGCCCTCCCAGGCTCCATTTTTGCTGGCAGAGTGCTAGCAAAACAAACTACTAGCAAAGGTAACATTTGATCATATGAGTGATGTTGCTGGACACCCCCACCCTGGCCATGCCTACCCAGTCCCCCCTGAGGTCAAAAACAATCCTGATGCGGCCCTTAATGGAATCGAGTTTGACTCCCCTGGTGTAAACAATCATTTATCTGAAATGGTATAGGTTCTCCTGCTTGAGCAGGGGGATGGATTAGAAGACCTCCAAGGTCCCTTCCAGCTCATTCTCTTCTAATTATGTTATAATAACAATGTATGATTAAATGTAGAAGAATATGGTTCAGCATTTTATATCATTCAATGGACAGTGTAGAAGAACCAATTTTCAGGAGAACTGAAATGGTATTGTCCTGTTGCAAAGTCATCCTACTTTCATGTTTTATATGCTTTTTCAAAGTAAACTGCATTCATCAACATAGAAATTAAAAATTACTATTGAGATCTTTCCTTGCTAAAGGTTTTTCTATATTTTTGGTTTGGTGTCCTTCATTAAATAGTTTCTTTGTAAATCAGCCTTACAACTGACTTTTTTTTGCAACCATAATTAACATTCATTCATTATTCATTCAATTTTTTGTTGCAAATAACAACCAATTGTTCTCATGTCATGATCAATTGTTCTATCAGGAAAGATAAATAATAAGCATCTGTAATTCAGAAGATTAAGTATTAAAGGTATTAAAGGTATTGTAGGTATTAAAAGTATTACCTACAATTTCAAAATTGCACAATGGAAATAACAAACAGAAGTGTGGTGTTGGAGGAGGGGCCACATTGAAAGAAAAAGACAAAACAAAAATAATTAAAGGTTTGTAACACACAGTATTTGCGAGTTTTCAGGATTCTTAGATGCTCACTCTAATTACTGGAGTCACAATTACTCCTTTTTCACTTCTGTATTTCTTTTTCTTTCAGATGAAGAAGAAGATCTGAATGAGGATACTGTAGAAAAAATTGTGAAATGTATCATTCAAAATGAAGGTAGGCATAACTTTGGCTTAGTTAAGTAAAACCGTAGCAGTAATATTTCAATAAGGCGTTTTGACATGTTTTTACTTTCTTCCCTTTTTAGCAAATGTTGAAGTTCTAAAAGAAATGCTGGGAGAAAGCGATGCTGATCTCCCACTGCCAGTGCCTGTACCCAGGTGAGATGAGCATATAGGTTCAAATTGGTACCCTCACCACTTGAGAATCTCTTGTGTTTTCTTCTTCCTTCCCTCAGTCATGCTCAGGACTAAATCACATGATATAGTGAGTGTATATAGATATGTATGTGTGTGACATACATTCTGCCTTACTATTCATTTTCAACCTAACATAAGTGTAATGGAGATTACTGGCCATAGGGTGGGAAGTTTAAAAACTCTCCCCAGCCATCTGTCTTGCAATCCCCCCAAAATGCTACTAGTGCTAATTGAGGATTTTCTTCCTGATTGTTTCAAATCAGGAGGCAGAGAAAGAATGTGGTTGGGTGAGAGGTCTCCCTGAACATATCCTATGGGGTCTACTAGGATAGAGAAGAGTGGTAAGAACAGCTGCATATTGAATGCATGTATGTAGTTTTCACTCTATTGGAATGACTAGGCTAGATGTCTCTCAGAGTGGGTTAAACATATTGCAGCCCATCTTTTAGAGATAGGATAAAAAGCCAGAACAGAATGTCAGGCTCAGTTGGCCCTAGTTAATTGTGTTGGTGCAGGATGTTTTTGTTGCCTGAAGCTTTCCTTTTCAAAGCTGCATAGCAATTGTGTAATGTTCTTGTACAGCTCCTATTTATTTCATTTGGGCCTCAGTAGATGTACTTTGTAGAGAATTGAGTTTCATGGATTATATTTTAGTATCCATGAATTTGAAAATAGTCTAAGTGGAAGTCTGATTTTGCCTTCCTGTGCAGGTTTCTCTGTGTTGGCTCCATGTTATGCCATATTTTTCAGTCTATGAAACGCACTTCCCCCCCTCCCAAAGTGGGTGGAAATGTCTGTGCATCTTATGGAGCAAATATTGTGGTGGCGGGGAGAGAGAGGGACTGTCCCTGGTTATCTCGCTGAAGTTGGCAATTATCTATCCTGGTCTATTGTGGAACTTTATTCAGTGCAGTTGGTTTTTGGTTTTTGGTTCGTTATCGGCTCTCTGAATTTGAACTGTGTTTCCTTCCTTTGGAATGTTATTTTGAAAATAGTTTACTCCTCCACTGTGAACAATTAAACAGTGAAGCCAAGTTGAAGGCATTAAAGGACTTTTAGTTACGTTTTGGGTTTTGTTATATTTCTGATATAACATGGCCCAACTGATTGCTTTTGTCTTTTATTTTCTCCAGTGCTCTATGTCCACATCGCAGCAGCCAAGATGGTGGCATTCCTCATCATCACACAGTGCACTTAGGTTCCGCACAAGCACCTTGCATTCATTGCAGCAAGAAAAAGAGACCTCCCATACATCGTCAGGGCCGGTCAAAAGAGAGCAAAAGCAAGATGCACCCTGGAGAAACAACAGTATTTTCAGTTGGCAGGTAGGTGTTAGTTTGCTTTATATAGAAGAGTTTTGAATTAACTCACAATAAGTATCTAATGAAATACAAGCAGAGTAATAGTATCAGGTTCTAAGGCATAAGAAAGCCAGTTTGATATAGTAATTAAGACTAGAAATTGGGAGACTGTGTGTTTTAGTCCTATCTTAGGCACAAAGTCACTCTTTTTCAGCCCTAGGAAGGAGTCAATGGCAAACCAATTTTGAAATCTTGTCAGAAAATTAAAGGAACTCAATGAGTGGAAGCTCATTAAAGAAACATCCAATTGGAGTTAAGGGGAAATTTACTGACAGCTTGCTTCCAAGGGTTGTGGGTGCTCCATTGCTGGAGGTTTTTAAGAAAAAAAAAATGGACAGCCATTTGTCTGAGATGTGTATAAGGTCTCCTGCCTTGGGCAGGAATTTGGACTCGAAGATTTCTCCAGGAAAAATCCTGAGGCTTGGAAAAGGACTAATGTGGTTTCCATGAAAAAGGTTTCCATATTGGGAAAAAAGATGGAAAAGGTTTCAATCTTCAAGAAAGGGGGGAAAAACCAGATCAGGAAACTACAGACCAATCAGTCTAACATCAATACCTGGGAAGATCCTGGAAAAGATAATCAAAAAACAGATCTGCAAACAACTAGAAGCAAATAAAGTCATAACTAGCAACCAGCATGGGTTTGTTAAAAACAGATCATGCCAAACCAATCTTATTTCATTCTTTGATAAAGTCACTAATGTCAGTGTTCCAAGTAACAACCTCCAAATTAAAAGTCTCCAAGACTCTTCTCAGAGATTCGTTTTATTAGAGATGTCATATTGGCATATCTGAAGGAAAACCCAAACCAGAGATTTCTGGGTTTTCCCTAGCCCAAAGAGAATCCAAAATCCAAACCCTGTACCCAGTAGTTCATCACATGGTCCAATCATTACTTTGTTCCAACTGGAGATTATCTCCAGGCACTCCTTTCCAGGTGCAGAGTAACAGGTCCTTGACTTTCTGAGAAAGGAATGCTGTTGTGGCTAATCTTCCACCACTCCTTGAAATCCCCCTTCCAAATTCCCAGACACTGAAATGTGGCAACCCAGAAGCCTCAAAGAAAAATGGCTTCCAAGCTGACAGGCTTCCCCCCCTCATGTGAGAATCATGTCCTGGAATGAGAAACAATCAGGGGGTTAGTTCAGTCAGCAAGCAATAACCATCTCTCCTCCCCTCCCCCAGAGGACCCATTGGCTTGTCTGGGAATTTATAATGGAATTGCTTTACTGGGGCACCCACTTTGACATCCCAGCTTTTAACCCAAGTAGCTTCTGACAAAGGGTACCCCTTCCAATTAACCAGATACTGTAATCTGCCTCTGTACAATTTAGAATCTAAATTTTTTTTCACTTCATAATGGGTTTCATCTTGTACCACAATCGGTTTGGGAGGTGCTGCTGGCTGTGGCCTTGCTGACAGCCAGTTTTACTACTATGGAAGACTAAAATCATCACAACGACATAATCCCCAATTATAACTTCAAAAAAGGCAACTATGATCTTATAGACAACGATCTCTCATCCCTTGATTGGCAATCTCTATTCACTGGATGCAATACTGTTGAAGACCATTACAACATATTTTTACTTGAAGTCAAAAGAGTCATCAAACTGTATGTATGTACCAATAACAACTCCAAAACCCAGAAAAAAACGGATTACCCATAACAATAAGGAAACTTCAATCCAAAAAGAGATCACTCTGGCGGAACACAAATCTGGTCACATTGCCAACTTCAAAAGCCGATACAAAAATTTATGCCACCAGATAAAGACTGAATGCACCAATTACCACATTAAACAAGAGGAAAACCTTCTACGCACCAATTCCACCCGCGCTTTTTACAATTTTGTAAACAACAAACTAAAAGACTCAAGGTCCATCCCACCCCTGATAGGACCTAATGGTAAAGACTGCAACGACGACACCATTAAAGCCAACCTCTTTAACACATTCTTTGGCTCAGTATTTGTAAACAGCAATGGATCATGCCTAGTATTTCCTAGCCAAATCACAGACAATTACAATGATCTAATACATATCGATTTTACAGAAGACAATGTTGAAAAAGCACTACGCAATCTAAAACCATCTCCATCTATTGGACCGGACGGAATATGTGCCTACTTCTTAAAAAAGCTATCCACTGCCATAACCGAACCTCTAAGCATAATCTTTGAAAAATCTTTCAGGACCAGCTCCTTGCCTAACCTATGGTCACAAGCTACGGTCATCCCCATCTTCAAAAAGGGAGACCCCAGCCTAGTTGAAAATTACAGACCAATCTCCTTATGCTGCGTCATCTGTAAAGTCATGGAATCAATTATTAACCAATCCATTATCCTCCACTTAGAGACAAACAACCTACTCTCTGATAAACAATTTGGTTTCAGAAAAAAACTATCCTGTAATCTGCAACTCTTACACTGCAAAAACATATGGACTACACAACTAGATCAGGGCAAAACAATAGACGCAATCTACATAGACTTCTGTAAAGCCTTTGATTCAGTGGTACATGACAAACTACTCCTAAAACTAAAATCTTATGGTATCTCTGGACAACTGCATAACTGGATAGAAGCATTCCTGTCAAACAGACAACAAATGGTCAAAATTGGGACTGTCCTATCAAATTCTGTACCTGTCCATAGTGGTGTCCCCAAGGCAGTGTTCTAGGACCAACACTCTTCATACTCTACATAAATGACCTCTGTGATCACATTAAGAGCAACTGCATTCTCTTCACTGATGATGTAAAGCTGTTCAATACCACAGACAATACTGCTACCCCTCAAAAAGATCTTGACTATGTATCAGAATGGTCAATCAAATGGCAACTTCAAATCTCAACAAATAAATGCTCTATCTTACATATTGGCAAAAAAAATCAGAAAATAAAATACAAGCTGAATAGTCAAGACCTTGTTGATGATCCATATTCTGTAAAGGACCTTGGAATACTCATCTCTAATGATCTAAGTGCTAGAGCCCACTGTAACTACAATAGCCAAAAAGGCATTAAGAGTTGTTAATGCCACATAGCTTTTTCTCTGGTAATATCACACTACTAACTAGAGCATACAAAACATTTGCTAGACCAATACTCGAATACAGCTCATCAGTCTGTAACCCACATTATGTATCTGATATTAGCACAGTTGAGAAAGTCCAGAAATATTTCACAAGAAGAGTTCTCCACTCCTCTATTTGTTGTAGAATACCTTATGCCACCAGACTTGAAATTCTAGACCTAGAAAACCTTGAATTACGCCTTCTTCAGTCTGATCTAAGTATGGTATATAAAATTATACATTGCAATGACTTTCCTGTCAATGAATACTTCAGTTTCAACCATAACAACACAAGAGCACACAATAGATACAAACTCAAGGTTAACTGTACCAAACTTGATTGCAGGAAATACGACTTCAGCAACAGAGTGGTCAATGTCTGGAATACTTTACCTGACTCTGTGGTTTCTTACCCAAACCTCAAAAACTTTAACCTTAGACTGTCTACTATTGACCTCATCTCTTTCCTAAGAGGTCTGTAGGGGGCGTGCATAAGTGCACCAATGTGCCTACCGTCCCTGTCCTATTGTTTCTTTTATTTTTCTTATATGTACCCTTTTCATGTATTCATAACTATGTATATACTTATACCTATTATCTTGTAAGCGATTGATCAAAATAAATAAATAAAAATAAAAAGACTGGATATATTTTCCCTAATATTCGAGGGAGACTTAATTGTACAGTCACCGGATTAATCACTTTCACTATAGGAAAAGGTCCTAAAAATTTAGATCCTAATTTCTTACTAGGTAATTTTAGTCTAATGTATTTGGTTGATAGATAAACTTGATCTCTCACCCGAAAAGAGAGTTGGAGCAATCAATACCGATCAGCTTGCTTTTTATATGCTTCTGCTGCTTCCGCTAGTGCTTTTTTGGTATTTTCCCAACTCTTCTTTAATGACTCCATCCATTCAGTTAATGACATGGAGATGGGTTGTTCCCTTGGCAGTTCTGGCATAGGAACAAATTCCATGCTATTGATGACCTGAAAAGGGGTTAAACCAGTGCTACTGTGCATTGCATTGTTATAAGCCCCTTCTGCAAACGGCAGTAAATCCACCCAATTTTCTTGCTGGTAATTTACATAACATTTGATGTATTGTTCCACCAGGGCATTCACATGTTCCGCAGCCCTGCTTGTAGTTGGATGGAAAGACGAGTTAAGTCCTTGGGAAGATCCAATGGACTTCAAGAACTCCCTCCAGAACGTGGTGGTGAACTGAATCCCTCTGTCCAAAATTATTCATCACGGTACTCCATTCAGCCTGTATATTTGTTTAACAAACATCTTGGCTAGTTTTTTGGCTGAGGGCAGTCCAGAGCAAGCAGCAAAACGGGCTTGCTTAGAAAATAAATCAATTACAGTCCAAATTACTTTGTGTCCCCCACTTTTAGAAAGCTCCACTATAAGTCCATTGCAATCTCTTCCTAGGGACAACAGGTTTCGGCCACTTGTTGGAGGAGACCGGGAGGCTTGGCCTCAATCTCATAGTGGCACAAGTGGCACAACTTTTTACATAGTCCTCTACATCTGCTTTCATTTTTGGCCACCAAAACTGCCTCCGAGCCAAGTGAAGAGTCTTTAGGAATCCAAAGTAGCCAGCCAGACAACAGTCATGACTCCGCTCTAGTACCATCAGCCTTAAACTGTTGGGTACATAGAGCTTGGATCCTTTCCATGCCAACCCCTCTCTCATGGTTAGAGTGTATCAGTTTTCCATGAACCATGGGTTGGTTAGTAGTGCTGCTTTAAGGTCTGTTGCTAGCTCTTCTTCAAGAGGGACAGTTTGGCATCTGGCTTGACTCCTAGTGGTGGCTTGAGCTGCACTTTGTGTGTTAGGGACCATGGCGTGGGCGATGTCCTCTCACCGGCTGTCACATT